TGCTTGGACCGTTTTCAGCAAGGTTTCAAAAGTCTATTGTGAATGGGGCTTATGGTATTGCTAATAGGGTTTACTATTGTCCTGCTTGTGTAGGACCACACATCATATCTGCTACGTTTTGTAATATCTCATAATTTAGATAAGGCCCTGCCTGTTGAGTGCAAAAGAGAGAACAACGTGTTTTGATTTGTAATTTCTTTGACTGCTCTTAGTATGAAATTCTGGGAAGAATTGTCACACAAAAGTTACATGGTTGTGGATGCTTGAATCATAGAGTAAACATGAAAATTGACAAAAATTAGCAGCAAGCACATGACTTAACATATAACACATCTGTAGCTTTGTGGGTATAGTCAAGGTAAATGGTAAAGCTTAACCAGGGCATCATTTAATGAAACACTGTTTCTGCCTGTGAGTTCTACCAAAGTAATAAAATAATTGAACTTTATTAATCTCACATTGGAGAAATTTACCTCTGCATTTGACCCATCCCATTCTGGAGCAGTTGGCTGCCATTGTGCGGAGCCCGTGGAGCAGTGTGGGGTTAGGAGTCTTGTACCAAGTATTTGCAACCTTCTCAGAGCATAGGCTCACTGCTATAACTATAGGCCAACACCCCCCTTATGCTATAGAGACTTTGAGATTTTAATTTAAAGGAAAAATCTGTAACAAAAAAATATATATATACATTGTCTGTTCGCTTGTGGATTGCCAGTTCTTTAACATCTAGCTGATATTTTTAGCAGAGCTGTAAAGAGGCCATTTGTAGAAAGTACAGTAATTGTCAGAAGGTTGTGTTTTTTGTTTTTGTTGGAGGTAGTCATTAATGTCGGTAATAGAAATGGTCTTTTTTTAGTCCACTGTGATCCATACTGGTGTATTCTTGTCTGTATGACGTTGTTTGTCATATTGTTTGCATTTCTGTTGACTTTCTTAAAGAGACCTATGTTAGTTTCAATAAAAATATTATTTATAAATTCCATGTTACTTGTTTGTCTGTGACTTAGTTTTAGATTTAAATTTAGGATTTGGTTTTGGTGGAGGTCAAACATTGAAGGAAGGTTGAGGGACTGTGTTGTTTCAGTGAGTGTCCTTACAAAGATGGAAACACTGAGTATATGTGTTTATGTGAATAAAGAGGCTTAAGTGGATTGCAGGGTAATAATGAGCTTTGTGGAGCCATGGGTTGCTGTTACAGTAAGTAGTTTAATAAGCCCCTTTCAGGCTTTAGCTGAGCGTGTCAGTGTCATATGTGCTTAAGGACCCAGCAAGTAACGTCTTCTGACAGCCATCTTACATGGTCAGAACTTTTGATAACTACATATCACTTTCAGAGAACTTGCTGAACTGCAAGCAGACATACAATATATAGAAAGGCAAATGTTCTTACTTATTGACTGATTGGGCATTTTTATATATTTAAAAAAAAAAAAAAAACCTTCCGAAGCAGTTTTTTTATTTCTTGTGTAAATTATGTTTTTCAAGCATTTATTTGGAGAACAGTCCCTTTGTATGGACTTTGGCTTTGAAACAGTTGCAGAGTTTTTACATTTAATGTACAAAATATAATGTACCTATTATGCACTGTTTGTCACGTTTTGGTTGTGGTTTAGAGGACCCAAATGCAGAGGCAGAGAGGCTAAGGTGAATTCTTGTAGTATTAATGCAAACAATAATAACAGAGGCAAAATCCAACTAAAAATGTACCAGACCAGAAACATGGAGACATCAGGGGAAAACACGCACAAGGAGCCAGGGAGAGACGAAGTGAGCAGAGAACAGCGACGACAGGACCAGGAACAACAAGGAACCAACAAGGAGTGACTGCAGAGGAAGAGTATATGTAGCTGACTGAGACAATGGCAGGGCTAACGAGCTGACAAGGAGCAGGTGTGAGGAGACAATGAGGGAGCCAAGGGGAAAGGAACAGACACAAGAGGGTAACAGAGGAAAACAGAAAAACCTGAGAACTAACATAAATCTAGAAACTACAACAAAATAGGAATTAAACCAATAAAACTAGAAAACAAGGAGCAAAGTAAAGCACAACATAACCAAAACCATGACACTGTTGTAGCAAATCAATAAATAAAAAAGGTGATGTTAATGTGCGGGGTGCTTACTGTAGACAACTCTATTATCAGGAATGGATTAATGCCATATTAATCTTGTATAATAAAAAAATTATTAAATATACAAATATATGAAATCCCTGCATAAGTAATATTACATAGACTTGAAATGTTAAGTGCAAAAAAGCATGTAAAAGGTTTCCTTTTTTTCACACAATTCTGACATCCATTCATCCATCCATCTCCTCCCACTTATTCCGTCAGGCCGGCTGTTGGGCCGGTGCCTATATCCAGCAGTCTATGGGCGATAGGCGGGTTCCACCCTGGACAGATCACCAGTCTATCGCAGGATATTTTGGCCAATAATTTTTCTAATTTTTTGTTTTTTTTATAACTATGTCCTTAACTATAAAGAGTTCTTTATGTACTCAGGACTTGGGCTTGACTTTTTCTTTTGTATGAATTATTACAACATTATTCCATTGAGGAAATCAGCCTGTGGGTGTGCTGAGGTGTTCCCACATTGCTTTAATAGAAGCCATGACTTCAACTGCATGGTTTGTTCTACTTTTTATCAACCCTGTCTGATAGGTCTGGTGTTCAATCAGTCCAGTAATACCATGATAAGGTACCAGGACCTAGCATGGCCAGTCTGCTAGAGCTCAATACTCCCTGGTCTAAAACAGACTGGACCAATCGCAGCAAGGGTCACACATCTGAGGTAATATGAACGGTTTTAAATGATTCCAGCTTACTTTGTTAGTCCCACCTTTGTTATCAGGCTCTACCCACTGCCAAATAAACTAAGCTCCACATCATGCAGATTGTTCCTTTGCACAGGGACAAGGGTTAAGCATAACTTTGATCACTCTTGATCACTCCAGCTTTTTTTAACTATGACCTTTCATGGTTTAGCTTTCTGGTGGGGGAATGTGAAAATATTTTTGTAGTGTAATATTTTTATTGGTCTTAAGTGATATTTGTCTGTTCTAAGATAACCAGTTTTGTGTCTATGTGAAATATTTCTAAGATAAGCACTTCATTTACTATAAAATTTTGAATTTGAATTAAATATAAGTATTTTCTAATCTTCTGAAGACTCACTTGTAGTTTTAGGAAAAATAAAAACATTTTGATTCCTGATTTTACTTTTCAATAATTAAGAGGTTCTTACATTAACATGATGCCATTTGTTTATGCAATTTGATCAGTATGTCCTTATCCATATTTAATTTAATTTTTTTTTTTTTATATCTTTCAAGCATCTGAGCAAGAGAAATTGAGGGGATTATCTTCCCATAGTGTTCTTGAATGTTGTATAAATTATGATGAGTCGTTGCACAGTAGAACGGCCTCATGCATGGCTTATTTTGACAAAACATTCTGTTGGGCCCAGTCAAGCAGATAAATCAGCAATGGGCCGGGTGCATGTACATGGCGTTGGAGAACATTTCTGATGGCAGGCGCCTTGGTGAGGAGAGATTTCCTGCAGCACATGTGCATTTTTTTGACAGCTCTGAAGTTGGCTGCTTAAACTGTTAAAGCCTCAAACTTGCACTGTATTGGGTTGCTTTGTTTTCTGAGTCTTCTAAAGAAAACTTTGCAATTTCTCTGATACACTCCCGGTCCTACTTACAGAATGTGGGACTCCTGTCATAATGTAGTGAAGTTTGTTGTACACAAAGTACATCTCAGTGGGGCCTAGTGCAAGAGAAGACAAGCTTCTCTTTTTCTGCTTTATCGGAAATGCAGTTATTTCATCCTTGCATCAATGCTCTGCAGAACAGTCTGTACTTAGCACTGTTTAATTTAAATCAATCTAAAATTCTTACAGCAGAGAGAGCAGAAACCTGAAGCAATCTCATTCAGTCATGTGCTGCTTCACTGAAGAGATGGATGAAGTCTCTAACTCATATATTCATAAACATTTCCAGTACAGTTCCTCATATCCTTGACAGATTTCTAACCACCATAGTTCATATTTCAAAAAGGAAAAGTCTAGTATTTGCACACTTTGCAGCTCAGCTAGCATTTCTATTCACTGCCTGAGCAGTACTGTTGGATCCATCTTTTTTTTTTTCATTTAAACTCCTGCCGTAAGTGTTTCTGAACCTTTCAGTGTAATTATATTATGTAGTTGGCAGACCTTTTGCTGGGGGCTCGTTGCAATTCAGCAAAAACACTTTTAGAGCTGGCTGGTTAAACTATGTTGGACTCATACAGGGAAGTGATGCTGAGTTGCCTCGGCAGCTTTGGCTCAAATATAATCACAGAACATATTAAATTGGCAGAGTGTAAGCATATTTTTCCAGTATATCACAGAGGCTATCAGTGTGACTAACTTCCAGTGCAAGATTCTAGGATTTTATTCATTTTAAGTCTGTTTTTACTCCTAAAAAAAGATTTCTGCAAAGTTTTGGAATTTTCGAATACCTTTCTGGTAACATTAATGAACAAGTTGTAGTGTATGTCCAGCATCCCTGCAACAATTTTGGTAATCTTTGTGAAGAGCTCCCTCCATCCCTTCACTGATAAAATTGTTTTTTGAACATAGCCACATCTTTTTTTTTTTTAACCAGCTGGGACCAGTACACCTCAGGTTACCACCTGTTGCTGCCAAAGCACTTTCCTCCCGCTGGACCAACATCAGCTTTGAAATATAATGATTTATGGTTGTTCCTGTGAAACAATTAGTGTTAGATTACTTATCTCTTCTGCATTCATCACCAGTATTTCATACCAGGTGCATATGTTGCCGGAGGCATCCTTTCCAGGTGTTCAGGTTGCATAATAAAACTCATAAATAAAACAAATGCTGTGAAGATGTACAAAAATACTTTAATGAGGAAATCATTTTAACTTTTTAACAGTGGATGAAAAATAAACGATGTGTAAAATATGTTTTTTCTTTCTTCCACTCTTTTCCAGGTCAACACAGCCATGCATGAAGCCAAGCTTGTGGAGGAATGTGACGAGCTTGTAGAGATCATCCGCCAGAGAAAACAGGTCATCGCTGTCAAAATCAAAGAGTCCAAGGTAAAGAATTAGACTTGGGATCCAGGTTGAGAATATTGAAGCTACATCTGCAGACTTTTGGGGGCTTTCACCAGTTGTTTAAAAATATGAGGAAAGATGTCCCAGCTCTGTTTGTTTGAAAGAAAAACAAGAAAATAAATAAAGGTACTATTAAAGTAATTAATAGTTTAAACTCCTATGTTTAATTGTACAATTGTTTTATTCTGGTTTTATTTGCACAGTAGTTCTCCTGATTTTTGGACTTTGACTGATGTATAGAGAGAGCTCTCTTAGGTAATTTTCAGCAGGAGAAACTCTAAATCTCTTATGGGTCATTCTTAAGTATAGAGAATTTCTTAAGCCACACAATTCAACTGTGTCAAATTCTTAGTTGAAGATTTTAGAATGCCTGATCTACAGAGCACATCTCTGCTTCATACCAGAAAGTGCACCATAAAGCAACCACACTGTGGATTGAATATATATTTGTTAGGCCTCTTCTTTAGTATTCTGTCTCTGAGAAGCAGACAGCTGACCTGTATGTAAAAACTGTTCTGAACTTCACTCATGGGTTTCCAAGAGAAGCCCAGGACTTTCAAAGGGTATTATGTAAACTAGCCTAACAAGGGTATAACAAAGGTGCTTTTCCTGCCTAAGCGTCCAGGGATTCACAAAAGAGTCTCTCCAAGGAGAAATATTCACAGCACTGGTTGTCAATCCGTTGAGATGGCACAAAGGTTTTGTTGAAAGATTAAATATATCTGGACAAGGCATGTAAATAGATAAGTAGATGTGTATATTGCTGTGTATGCGTTGCAGAGCAAGGAGGTTTGTCTGTATTTCTGAAGCTTGCAGACAAAAGACAAGACATGTTCTCTCATGAGTCTTAGGCTCTCTAGCAGATGATAGATATAGGATATAGGTCAAATTCAAAGAAAATAAAAATGTTAGATTGTGGAAAATGGTCAAGAAAAAGGAATGAAATGCATAACATGAATATATCACATAGTCAAAAAAAAAAACTATCAGGAAAACACACTTACATATTTAAATAGAACACTGATCCAGTTCTCAGTTGAAAACAGTAATGAGAGGGGTACTCCAGTCTTTAATCTTACCTCCTCCTAATGAGCTATGGATCTCATGAGGGAGACCGAGCTCTCATAGTTACCTCCTGTCAAAGTAAAACGCTCCTTCCCAAAGTCTAATGTGTGTGTTTTAGTAGTATGACTGGCTGTCTTACAGGCATCATTTCTTTCAGCATCAGGAACTAGTTTTTGTCCCTGATCTTGATCCAATGCATCTGGAGATCTGGGAGGCTTCTTGCTGTCTGCTGACATTCAAATAATGGAGGTCTATGGTGCCCGAGGCAGAAAGGTCCATAAAAGTCCACAAAAACGTGTCAATGTTCCTCCATACTGCTCGTCCAATGTAATCCAAGTGTCCTGAGTGGGTAGCATCCAGAATTTACTCGAAACGAAGTGATTTAGAACGTTTTAGAGCCTAAACAGTAGTGTATAGGATTTCCTAATAGCGCCCCCATGCGCACTCACGATTCTACGGAAGCCGGCAGACCAAACCGGAAGAAAGTGCGCATTCAGCGTCTGCTCTGCCGATAATGCAAGCGTAGAAGAAGAAATGTGCTGTTTACCTGTGCAAAGAAAGAAACAACGAAAGAAAAATGTCTGAGGACTTCAGTGTTGAGGAAGAGCATGAGTTCTTTGCCGAGCTGAATGCGCTGGTTTGGTCTGCCGGCTTCCGTAGAATCGTGAGCGCGCATGGGGGCGCTATTAGGAAATCCTATACACTACTGTTTAGGCTCTAAAACGTTCTAAATCACTTCGTTTCGAGTAAATTCTGGATGCTACCCACTCAGGACACTTGGATTACATTGGACGAGCAGTATGGAGGAATATTGACACGTTTTTGTGGACTTTTATGGACCTTTCTGTCTCGGTCACCATAGACCTCCATTATTTGAATGTCAGCAGACAGCAAGAAGCCTCCCAGATCTCCAGATGCATTTGAGATATCAAAAAAGTACTCCAGAGTTTTGTTCCGCATGGGGGTGAGTAGAAAATGAAGGCTAATCATGTTTTGGGTGTACTATTCCTTTAAAATCAATGCAGTTCAGGCTGCTTGGTTTGAAAGTTTATTCTAAACTAGAATATAATTATTATTAGACTGTCAGACAGTTTAGCTTTGCATTGTTCAGCTCTCCTAGGATGGCTTAAGATGTGGGCTAAATAATTATTTGTATTACCAATGAGCCACATTAGATGATCGATCCAACAGTGCATATAACAGGATTCAGCCTGACTTACATCATCAGAAACTCCAGAAAACTCAGGTGGACGCATCAACAAATACCTGGATCAAAGACCACCTGACACATAGACCACAGTTTGCAAGACTACAGGGTCAGTTGTCTAATTAGGTAATGAGCAGCACGAAGCATCAGGGGACGGTACTCAAATAATTGTTTTACTTTCAACTCTGTATTTCTGCAGTCCTTTTATCTGCAGAAATACTTGGATGACTCTTCGGTCATTCGGTGCATCGAAGATGGAAAAGAAGCTGAGTATAGGCAGCTGGTTGTTGCATGATGTGGAAACAAATAGTCTGATCCTGAGTTTGGACAAAACAATGGAGATAATTGTAGATTTTTAGAAGAAACAGAAATGAGTCAAACGCTATTAACATCATTGGAGAAGAGGACAACATGCTCGACTGGAGACCCAACTGTTAATCTGCCTACAAGAGGGTACCGAGCAGTCTTTACTTCTTAAGAGAGCTGAGGTCCTTCAGAAGCTGAATATCTTCTATAAGCCGTTTGGAGAGAGTGTGATCTCTTCTGCCATCAAATGCTAAGGTAACAGCATCAGAGAAAACTATTTGAAAAAGCTCAACAAGTAGAAAAAGAAAGGAGCTTCTGGAGAGGATTTCATAAAATAAAAACGGTGTGCTTCCTGTTAAGAATTCAAAAGCATATACTTCCTGTCTACAAATATCAATATATACAACAACTCCATAGAAAAACAACTTATTAGGTCCTATATTTAATTTCTGTTAAAGATCAGTAAAGGCATTAAACTCGTTTATTATAATTGATTGACTATTATTGACTTTGATATAAACTATATTTTACAGATCTGGTTGCTTATTTACCTGCAGGTATAGAAAGCTGTCCTTAAGGAGAAAGAAAACTAGACACTGGTCCAATACCAACATAAATGAAGTTAAATATTTGTATGCCTTGATATCACATCTGTACAATGTAGTGGAAAATGATAGTGGTGGTTATATATGGTTGTTTTATGTGCTAAGCTCTAGAATAGATGAGAGAGGATGACTATGAAGAAAATGTTTTTCATCCTAAAATGATAACATCTCAGTATTTTCTTTCTGTATTTAAAATAATTTCAACCTTGATAACATTGTAGGGGAGACCAGTTTCCATTTTCATTTTTTGAGTGTTTATCACATAGATTCATCTGTTTAAATAAAACAGACGCTCAAACAAAAACCCTCTCAGCCTGGGCTATATTGTCTATTACCCTGAGCGAGCAAAGCAATCATCTCTTAAATTTTGTTCACAGCAGATGTTGCCAAATAATATCCCATCATTAAAGCCATCTTGCTTGTTTCCAGTCACCGACCAGCTCAGATGTTGTTCACGAGGGGCTAAGAGAAAGACTGGCTGAGACATCAGTTTAACACTCCATTAAGCCTCAAGCTTTAAGACTTTACACTGAACACCTTTTATCATCTGCTGGATAAAGTTAGGTAATGATTCACTTCATTTCAAATGTATGTTTCAGACACTAAGTCAAAGAAAAATCCTTTACAGTGAGAGCAAATACGCAAACATGGAGATGATACCTGATAGGAATTCCCAATCATAAATGCCAGGTTTGATTAGTATTTAGCTGTTTACTGAAAGTAAAATATTTTCCAAGTTGGAAATGTCCATTTTCTTTGCTGATATCCGCTGCATGGGTTTTTAATTTTCTCCTGCCTGCTCAAGGTTACAGTGGGAACAGTACACTAAGCTGCCAATTTTTTTTTTTCCTCTGCATCTTTCATTTTGTTTACCTTTCTCACTCTCAAGCAGTCTTTGTTTATTTGCTGAGGAGGGGAATTCGTTAAACTAAGTTCATGTTCAGAGTCAGGATATGGGCCTGAGTGAAGATAAATAGATTACTTTAATTTCAAATAAACCTTGGATTGTTTCCTTCTGCTCAGTGGGAAATTACATTACAGAACACCCATGTTTAAATTATAGTTGAATGAAACAGCATTACAGAATGCTGATTCTGTGCTCATCCTTGAACTGTGGTTTGTCTTGTGGCACACAAAAAGGTTCTGTCTTCATAATTTTAGCATTTATTACCCTACATCACATAAGCTCCATTTTCTGTACTTTCATGGACGGTTGAAACCTGCTAGAATGACTCAAATGTACCCAACTATGGTGACCAAAGTCGGAATGTTTGTCATACAGTATAAGCCATTCAAAATGGCCCTTCCTAGTCAAACGCCAGCTGAATGGCAGCCCACTTTCCTGCAGCTGCCAGCGAAATTGCCTCCAACTTCCAGCCACTGGCCTTCTCCTGGGCGTGTGTATTTTTTTACTCTGGCTCCACCATTTCACTAAATTACAGGATCTGACTAGGAGATGATGCTTCTCTTTAGATCTTAATGTCCACAAATCATGATAGAAAGTGATGATTAAATATTTTAGTACAAAGATTAATGTTTAAAAGGGAATTGTAAGGGACTAGCCAGGGACCAGCCAAGGTCCCATCAAGGAAATTTCAATGGCTTCTACTGTAAATGAGGTATCGGTTGTTTTCTGCATAAAACCTTTCCAATAAACTACCTATGTAAAAATATGTACCGTACATACCCTCGGATAAGTATTCAGGACTTCTTTGAGTCTTTGACGGACAAGACTGCTGTCCACCTATATCTTAAGGACAAAGGACACTTGTTTGAGGACCAGAAATTTCACATTTTGGACAAAGAAGATAGATGGTTTGAAAGGGGTGTGAAGGAAGCCATTTTTGTTAAGAGAGCAAACCAACCCTAAAAAGAGAGTAAGGACTCAGGTTTCAACTCTCAAAAACCTATAGTGCAGCGATAGAGTTGATTCCTTCCCGCTATAATCTCAAATTCTAACGGCCATGCAGGCAACCAAAACATCTCGGCAGTTTAGCCAGGCCAAGGGGCTCCCCCTACAGGTTCGGTGGGGGATTGTTCAGTTGATATCAGTGGCTATTATAAGCCCTGTGCGGCTTATAATATCTATGTTTCCATTTTTTTTTTTTTTTTTCAAAAAATTTAGTGGGCATGGCTTATATTGAGGTGCACTCTATGGTCCGGAAAATACGCTAATTATTTTCCTTCTTTGCTATCATAATCATAATGTGCTTATATCTATGAAAATTACACAAAAATACAAAATTTATCTTTCATAAATATGAAAATAAAACAGTATAATACATTCTTTATGACACTGAGTGAATTGAAAAAAATTTTGGACCCTTTTTTTTTTTTTTTTTTTTGTGAAATAAACAGCCTTTTTGTTTTGTCTTCACAATGCCACTGTGAGCAAAGGTGGTTTTAAGCGGAGTAAAGATGTTTGTTTCTTTACCATGTTTCTGATTATGCATTTGGATGGAGCAGATGTATTTGCCATTGTTTTCAGTCATCCGTGAAAGGAGACTTTTTAGTTACAGAACATTAAAGTCTAAAGTAAATGTGTGACTGTTTATGTGAAGATAAGTGTTTGTTTGTTGTATCTAAGGCCAGGGAAGTATATCAAAAGAACTGAAAACTGCCGCTTTTTGCTTGCCTCTACAATTATGTACTACAGACAGTCCCACAAAACACTGTGAAGTGATTCTGTATGATCTTCAAGCATGGGGATATGTTTTAGATTAGAAGTTTCTTTAATAATAACCTGTTTGATAGATTTTCTGCAGATAAAGCCTCTTGCAGAGATTTTATATTGAAATGTTTCTAAGGCAACACACTACAAAGATACTATTCTTGTCTGAGATTTTACCATGGAGAAAAAAAGACACAAATAGTCTTCTTATCCTAACAGCAATAATTACAGAGATTAATCCTGTCAAGATTTATTCTGTGCAAATGAGCTTAAATCAATATATCTCTCATAACATCCAGTGTGTCTGTGCTTGTTTCAGGTAATGAAACTGCGGAAGTTGGCTCAGCAGATTGCAAACTGTCGTCAGTGCTTGGAGCGCTCCAGCGCCCTCATCACCCAGGCCGAGCAGAGCCTGAAGGAAAACGACCATGCGCGCTTCCTCCAGTCTGCCAGGAACGTGGCAGAGAGGTGGGTCATGACACAAATGCTCTGCACACAGTAAGGCAGAAAAAGTGATAAAAATGTTTTTGTTTCTGACAAAGGTCATTGGAGGATATGTCCACCCCTGCTTTTCTGAAGTCACTGCTTATGTTAATTGTAGTTGCAATTAGCTTGTTCAGTGGCTGTAAATTAAAAGTATAAGTATGTAGGGAAAATCCTACATACTTTTTTGCATAGTTTCCCAAGAGACTCACTTCTAATGTATCTGACAATAGGACTTTGTTGAACTTTTTAAATCAAATCTTTCACTGCAGTGTAACTCCTTCTTTATTTAATTTCCACCTCCGAAATCCACTTAAAGGGCTGCTGGTAAAATCTGTTGTATCAAACCAGCTCCTGCAATCAGTGTCAAGCCTGTGTTGAAAATCATCCATCATTTAAAAGCCAGTGCTGTCTTTATTAACTATATCGTATCCTTCTACTGGAGACGCCTTTCACTCAGTCTGTCTCTTGAACGAAGATCTTGTTGAGAAGCCTACAGCCGGTGTTACATCTTTTATATTGCTCAGTCTAGTTTAGCCCTCACTCACTTTGCTGAGGACTGTGAATCTGAAGGCCTTTAAGTGTTTTATGTCTACCTTTACACTCTGCAGTGTAACTCTGCTGAAGCTGTGGTTCCTGCCACAGGCTGCTCACTCATGCTCAAAGCAGGCACACGTTGCTGCAGAGCTGTGAGGGGTTTCAGTTGCTGTTGAGTTCATATCTGTTTTGACAACACATTGTTAAAGGCATTCAGAACATACTAGATATGGTGCGGGGGTCTTTTTGAATTTTTATCCCCCACACCTGTTCTTGTGTCTACTACCTCTCCTCTAAAGTAACCTCACTGCTTTCACTCCCCTGCCTCCTAACCACCCTCATCACCTTTCATCTTTTCACTTTTTCTCTCTACTGTTCTATCACCCATCTGACCTTCTGAACCTTTTTACTTTTACCCTTCTGCTTGCTTTTTTTTTTCTCATGTTCTCTGCCCTGGTCATTTCTGCAGGGTGGCAATGGCGACGGCGTCCTCCCAGGTACTTATTCCTGATGTGAACTTGAATGAAGCATTTGATAACTTCGCTCTTGACTTTTCCCGAGAGAAGAAGATATTAGAGGGTCTAGATTACTTAACAGGTGAGTACTGTCTTTTTCATATGAATTTTTTTGTTTCATTTTCATAAACAGTCAAAGCACAAATATTCTAATTATTACTGACATTATTTACAGTTATGCTGTAAAGTACAGTATTGGATAGAACCATACTAATTCCAAGCCCCAAAATGTAATCTAAATAATTAATATAGATGCATAAACTACGAGGACAAAAGGGGAAACAAACGACCGCATAAGTTGTATACTCCTTAAAAAATTATCTTGAACTTTCTCCCATGTCCTACTGCTACATCCATAAAATAATGAGGTTTAAGAGGATAGATGGTTTTAAATATGAGTTAAAAATGATTTCTGTGATGAAAACATGCAATATTTTAAACACTGTAAACATTTGTCACAAAAAATTTACTATTTGTTGGTCCACTGCCTAAATTGCCAAAAAAGTGTTTGTAAGTTTGTGCTTATATCCTTGTCTCCCCCATTTAAACTTTTCAGCAAAACAGCTGATAATCAACTGTAATGGATTTTCTAATTTTAACCTTCATGTTCTTGTTAAATGTCAAACTGTTGGACCCAACAGATTCTGATTTTCTGGCACCAGTTTAGCATGTTGGGTCAGTGGAATCAATATGAAACTAGATCAAATACCAGTTATTTACTATCACAGGGCTTTCCTCATTTGTCTTTTTAAAATCTTAAGAAAAGAAGCTGAACTTAAAAGTTAATGTCCTGCTGATTATTTTCTTCTCCTTTGTCCTTAGCGCCCAACCCACCATCCATCAGGGATGAGTTGTGCACAGCGTCCCATGATACCATCACCGTTCACTGGACCTCAGAAGATGAGTTCAGCGTCACCTCCTATGAGCTGCAGTACACCATCTATACTGGCCAGACAAATTTCATCAGTAAGTCCATTGCTCACACGCCCACAACTTTATATTTCTATCCATATTCATTTACCCCTTACCCTAAAGGGTCAGGGGTTCCCTTACAGGTTAGTTTCTAACATTGAAGGTATAAAAGAGGATTCTTCTCAGAACTTATGTGTCCAGATTCATCTAAAATGACTTAATTGATGGCTGCCATTATTGGACTTATGGTCCCTGCCCCCGAAAAAAATTTAAATCCATAAACTCTGGTCATGGTGGGGCCTACAAAACATTAGCCAATCTATTTCATCTACTGTTGAAAGTTTGGCTACTTGCTGGACAATCATACATTTGGCGTTCATGCCACCATGACGTTTTTATGTAGGCTCTAAGCATAACTCATTCGCTGTTTGGCTAGTGCTCCACCATTACACCACAGAACGAATAAGTACACTCAGGCTTGTTTGCTGTTGCAGCTTTATTTTAGCTATTTGCTCACTCTTTTGAGTAAATTGGAGCATCAATGGCCTAAAACAATCCTGACAAACCTAACCAGAAAAGAAAGCCTTTTTTCTATGTAATAGAAAAGAGAAGAGAAAGTAGGAGAGAACTCGGCCGGTTATATGTGTGTGTTAAGGAGATTCTTTTCAGAGATGGCTTGAGTGCCCTAAAGGAGCAAAAGGGTCTGAAAATGGATGCTTTGGTCGGAAAACGTCTGTTGGACTGGTAAATTACGTTTAATTCTGACGGAGGCGTTTCCAGAGTAGAAACTTGTGATGGAGGGGGCAGTGACACATGTGCACAATTCAAAAATACACAAACAGCCGTTGGACATATTTTCCACCACAGAATCCTCTTTCCTGCCTTTAATCCCAACCTAAACTTTATCCATACTTAAGTCCTAAACGTGACCCCAGACCCAAACACAGCAGTTCCCCCCAAGGGGTCCAGGCATCAGCCCCCACAAGGACATTTCCCACAATGTGCTGTTTTTTTCAGAAAATGGTCCCCACAATGTATGAAAAAGAAGAAACCACTCACAGACATCTGTTTTCTTTCCATGTTGCACAGCTGGATATGGTGCTCAACGCAGAATCATTGATTAGAGATGGGTTGGACTGACGTTACACCTGAAGCTAAAGTTAGCAGCAATAGCCCTTTAGCCATTTCATAAGTTTGTACCTACAAAGTGGAAATCAACTTCAGCTTTGTGTACATAGCTGCTTAAGGAATAACAAATAATGAGGGAAGTGAAAACATTTTAGTTTTCATTTTTTTATTAGCATTAGTTCAAGTGTACACTTTTCAACAACAAATTTAACAGATTTTTCCCACGTATATTAAAAAAATAAGAATTATAAAAAAAATAAAAAAAAAAAGATCTGCCCAAACCTATGTTTTTAGCCCAATTAGCTAAAGTTGGCTACAGTGGGGAAGCTCAGTCAGTGGGGATGTCACTGCTGATTAGAAGTTGGAAGGTGTGTAGTAAGCTGGTTGATCTAGGTCAAGCCTGCCCCAAGTCAGCCCTCAAGGCAGGCCCGGTCTAGGTTAAAGACATTGCTTTTGCTTCGCCCATCTACTTTAACTGGTAGATGGGCGAAACAAACCAAATTTATTTTTAAAAGGTTTATAAAAGTAATTAGGACAGCAAAGACAAACTGCGACAATACATGAAACTAGTGTGTGATGCCAATAGTAACAACATATTGGGATATGAACCCTAAATCTCATGTTGGTTTTTATAGGTGCTTTTGGTTATTTGGATTCACATTCTGATACAGTTTGAGACCAATCAGAACCCCCTCCCCAAGTTCCTGAGACCCTGAAATCTGTTTCCTGATCAGCTGGTGCACATGATAATAATAATAATTTCAATGCATCCTGAAACTTTTCTATCTGTCTTTGCTTCAGTACACCTGAGTCGAATATTCAGGTCATTAGCAGGATCATTGAGCGCTTGACTGAATAAAGATGTGGTAATTAAGGCATTTAAATCAGATGTGTTGGACCAGGGACACATATAAAAGGAGCCTGGACCTTGAGGACGAGCATTACCCGTTATATGGCATCTAAGCAGCTGACACAGCATTGTTTACAGCCTGTAATTGTGAACAGGCTTCAGTGTTTAAATGAATAAAACCAAGAGGAGGGTGTCTGTTGACGACCTGTGCTTCTAACAGCAGGACTGTTGGTCTCTGGCCACAATAATGAGCAATTCCCATTGGTGTTGTGACTTGCAGCTAGAACCCATTTAACTTGGGTGAGGTGTCATTCCCAGAACAGAGTTCCGACTTCAGAAACAAATTGGAGGCACCATTAAAGCTACAATGTGTAATTTTCAGCGACATCTAGCGGTCAGACTGCAGACCGCAGCAACATGAACATCTCCCCCCCCACCGCTTCTCCCCCCCAACAGTACGGCGAGCGTTACGGGACAAAATTTCTTCCACGACATCCACATCACCTACCCTCTCAAGTGATGAGGTTTGTTTACATAGATAATTTTACAGATAGTATTTCATTAGTCTGAGTAGGGTATAGATTTCATGTAGACTTAAGATAATAAATATACCCGTTATTTTTTCTACATCGTTGTGACGTTTTGGTGAGCTGCTTTGCATGGTGATATAAACAGACGAAGTAATTGTAGTCATTAGTTTAACAGCGAGATTGTGTTCGCTGGAAGAATATATATTCCCCGTTTACAGAGTCCAAGTCATTTTGGTGGCACGGGGGTTACAAGGCGAGGAAGAGGGAGAGGACGAGGGCGAAGGCAGGGAGGCCGTGCAGCTAGGGCCAGGCGAGAGAGGGGTGCCAGCGGGGTGAGAGCAGAGGAGGAAACGCTTGAAGATCTCCAAAGGAGCCGGAGAGAAGTAACCGAGGTATATATCCAGAAAATTCTTTTACAGAAAATTACTGAATCATTACCTATGAAACGTCAGGGACGTTGCTGAATAAGTATACTGGAGAGTAACAGCATTATCACGCAGCATGTTATTGTTTTAGACAGGTCTGAGCATCCTGTACTCCAAAAACTGCAGTGATATTAGACAATTGTGTGTATAGGATTAATTACCTTTCCAAGAGAAAACTGGCAACTTGAGCGTCACTTTGAAAACCTTTTTCCTCCATCAGTGACTTCCATCGTGTAAATGCCGTGCCAATGTTGATCCGTGTTTTTTGTCGTTTCTTGTCACGCTTGCGTTTATTCTCGTCGTGTTTCCGCTTCTTAGATGACGGGGGTTCGGTGTCCGCCGCTTTTCGTTGTGATACAGAGTAGGCATGATCCTCCATTCGTCTGATGTTTGGCCACACAGTGCCAAACAGTTTGCAAAGTCACTCACGCCTGCCGCCTTGTTCACCTTTCTTTTTACTGATGCGCAGTATACCTGCTTCTTCTTCTTCTTTGGTTTCAGGCAGACTAAACGCTTCTCAGGCATAATACTGCCATCTACTGTTCAGTACCGTCTCAGTTCATCTCTCTCAACTTGCCGTAGTTATTTTTGAGCGTCATGGGAGATCTCGCAATCGCTAGTTTGTTGCCTCTGCGCTTGCCGTAGCGCAAAGATGTCAGCCTCCATGGCTGCGAGACCCGCTCCTATGTAATTATAAATAACGAATTCTAAGGCAACGCAAATATTAAGGTTAAGAGGCTGAGCTCATAGGTGATGATAAATAACATAGTTATGTATAATATATTAAATTTCTGACTTTATATGCCTGTAATTATTACACACTGTAGCTTTAAACTAGAGGTGTCCTTGGGTTTCTATTAGCAGTGTGGAAGAACCAAATGTTTTATTATGCAAGTTGTGGTAAGATACAGAAATAACACAACACTTAAATTCATTTTTTTTGTATTTGGAACCAATACACAACCTTAAATCAATTAAATCAAAATTATTTGCACTTTTTAACCACTGTTGCTGCATGTTATATGCAAAGTTGCACCATTTGAGCCTTGAAAATATTAGAAAAACTTTTCAATCATTGCATATGCTTTTATTTCTTATGGGTTATATTTATAGATAAAATAGATTCCTTTGAAACAAAACCTTGAAAATAATATATAATAATATGTAATTTATTATTTTATGTCATTAAGCTTTGATATGTAGGAAACAGTCAGGTGCTGCTTATCTGAACTAATTATCAGCAGGTGTGAGCTTCTATACACTCTAAACAACGAATGTAGCTCCAACTTTTTGTTTGCTTGAATTGGTAACAAGTGTTAAAATTACAATGTAATACAATTAGTTTACAATGGATTAACTGGAAAACTACTATAATAAATAAATTTTGTGTAAACCTAATTAATTGTTAGGTTACAAAGTGAAGCACTTCATTTAAATTGGAGATACATTCTCTTTTTAGATTCTGTTTAAGAAGTGATCGATGTTTTGTAAGTATCAGGGAGTGTGCTAATATAGTGCTAAGTAAGAATATCACCATTGTTAAATCATTTTTTTTCTAATTGGTGAATATGAGTTTGATATTTGAGCTTAAGACCCTCTTTGCAATGTTTTTAATTATAAAAAAAGAGAAAATGGATAGCGAACCCTGTTTTTAAAGATAATGTCTGCCTGCAAATTTACCTCAAAATCAGACATACCCCACAAACTCAGCAGTTAAATATCAGTGTATACAGGTGTTACTTTTTTAAAGGACTGCTAAAAGAGTATAATGGCACAGATTAAATTTAAGAATCAGTTTCTCGATCTTGTCACTTCACACTATTGAACATAAGAAAGATCCGGTCATATCTAACCCAAAATGCCACCCTGCTCTTGGTACAGTCCAGTGGCACGGGAAGGGGGGTGCTGCGGGGGCTGCAGCCTCCCTCGTCATAGCATCAGCCCCCCATGGTGGGGGGGCTGTGGAGTAACATAATATTGTACTTAAAAACATGAAATTATTTATGTATTTATTTTTTAAAAGACTGTTTGATATAGGATTAAAATGATGGGCTGTGTATAAGATATAAACTAATGATTCATTATTTTAATATTTCATAAAAAACTAGGCTACTCCCCCGA